ATGAACAGATTGTCTCTTAGAGATTTGTAACTCATGTTAGACCTCAGCCTCCATGCTCTTCGCATGTCATCAAAGAGAGCAGCCTGGATTGGTGTTTTCAACGAATAGTACCGTGCTAGGATTGTCCACTTCCCTGCCGTTTTGACCTCTTCTTCTTCAATGTCAACCTCAACCAGATCTTTGTCTTCGTCATAAATCTCACCTTCTGTATAAGCCGCCGGTCCTCGCGATCCGCTGCCGCCCTCCTCTTCAGTTATGGTTTTCTAATGAACTGTGTCATCCTGAACCCCCATCGCATTGCGGTCTGCAAGAATCAGATCCAGCCTCTTTGGATTTTCCACAGCCAACTCTCCTGCTGATTTTCCGAGCAATGATCCAACCCCAGGATCATCCAATGGCTTCGGGCGGGCAGCCATCTTAGCGAGAGCCCCTTGTTCGCCCCCACCATCGGAAGACTCCATGAATTGGAACTTGACGCTCTGAAGATTGTAGATTGAGAACTCCGCAGCCGTGGAAGTCACCAATTGCACCTTTGGCCCTGGTGGTACGTCGCCTTTATACCATGTAGTCACCGAGTCCGAGACTTCCACGATCTCCCTCAGAGGAAACCGACCAGGATCATACCACCAACAGTTACCAACCAAATATACATCAAGATTGAATCGAAAGCCCAGGCGGATTGCCCAGGCGTTTACCTTAACCTTATCTGTACCCCCATAAATCTTCCATGTATGAGATTTGGAGCCTGACTTCGATTGCAGGAGGGTAAAGAGATTCATAAACCGGATGTAATTCCAGCCATAGAACCCTGCCATGGACGGAATTCCCACGAAAACTAACAGCAGATCGGAGTATACCTCCATCCAAATCCATTGCCCCTTGGGCACGTAGTCTGTCGTCGCCCAGTCGCCTGGGCGTCGCCCAAACCCTAGCATCCGTAACTCATGGAGCTTAACCATTACCATAATAACAATATCAAGTTATGCTAATAACTCACAGAAAGAGCCAGGGGAAATGTTAGGTTGGTGACTTGTGCGGTGTTTGTTCTGTTTGAGGTTTGTGACAGCGTGTTTAGTCAGGGACTTGCACCTTCGATCTTGCCCTTCTCTTTTTTCCTCATTAATATAATGACACGTAGCTCGCCTGCGTCGATAAAAAAAAATATTCTAGAGAAATAATTCAAAATTTGTAGAGGATTTTTCAGCTTTCTGTTCAGGCAGCTTTCGTCATCCTCGAGCACCTTGAACCATGAGCAAGATAAGCACAATGGCAATGGCGAACCTGCAAATTTTCTGCCCTGGTATTCGTCACCTTCCGGATCAATCTGATGAGCTGCCCGAGCAACATGCCATGTCACTCCTACCAAAGAGGGCTATATAGTCATCACGATCTCTTCTGCAGTTCAGAGATTTTTAGATAATGGATTAGAAACCCGGCCTCTACATCTTCTACAGTTCAGAGATAAACTGGATTTCGACAAGTCCGTCGATCTCTCTGTGCCCTGCAGATCGAAATTTATAATTCTTTCTTCAGAAAATCTACACAACGGGCTTCCGTCACAACGGGATAAGCTATCCTCTTATCTCCATCCCTTCCTGTAGGATCGAATCACAAGAACTAAGCCAACCAGAGGGGAGGTGAATGGTTGGTATACCCAAAAACCGAAAACTTTTAGCGGAAATAAAAGTTACCCTCGAAATCGATGGATTGCGATCTGACCGAAGTAGTTGCGCCGGTTTGACCGCTTGATGAACGTCGGTCTGACCGAAGTAGATCGATCGGTCGAACTGCCGACTCCTGTAGCCGCCGGTCTGACCATCGTGTGCCCGCCGGTCTGACCGCCACGATGTCGCCGGTCTGACCGCCGGTGCGCCGCCGGTTAGACCGCCGAAACCCGGTGAAACACAAATCGAAGAACTCTTAAAGTGGATGACAACTTTATTACTTCTCTCTGTGTTTACAAAGTGCACCAACAGCACTCCTTACAAAAATTTCGACTAAACTTGAAACCCTAACTCAAAACTCAACTCAATTGCTCTCTAAAGCGATACCGGGAAGCCTCACGCTCCCCCTCTATTTATACATGAGGTAGGCAGCCTAAAGCCACGAACCAAACTCATACTAGGAGTCCTAAACACCTTAGGAAACCCACTAGTACAAAAAAGAAACTTTACATAACCAAACGTACCAAATTTGGACTCCTTCCAAATTCGACTCCACATCCCATACGCACACAATAACACCATCGTATGCCATATGGAAACTCCATTAACCACGTGCATCAACTCTAGCCTAAGTATCCCGCATGATCTCTGACCACTACGGACGTCGTCTTATCCCCAAGCCGACTCCCGGTCCATCACCGCAAATACTCTCCCGATCGAGACATCAAGTCACCTGCACATGGAACAAACAAAGAAACCATATTCCGAGATCAAGCTATCTCCAACTTGACTCATTAGCAACAAACAATAGTATTACATACGTATAGTATCCATCTAGAAGTCATAATCATGGAATAAACTCGGATATCCAAATAAACAACCCGAAACCGAAACCGACACAGTGTCGGCCGGTCAGACCGCGGGCTGCGCCGGTCTGACCGCGCATTACACGCCGGTCTGACCGGCTACCAGAGCCCGGTCTGACCGGTCCACATAAAATGATAAAATCTGCGATTCACCCGTGAAATCCAATCATCTCCAAAACCACTTCGTGAATAAATTCCAAATAACAAAACCAATAATCTCCAATGCCCAATTGTTCATCACAGAATAATAATCAAAAACACCTTTGATTTTACACTTCCCTTCCACACACACTCTCTCTCTTCTTTCCATCCCTTCCCCTCCACACAGATGAAGCCGCTTCAGCCTCGCTGCTCCATGGGCGGCAGCGGCGGCCGAGGCTGCCGCGCCGGCGGACAACGACTCCGCCTCCGCGCTCCGACGACGCCTCACACGAGCTGTTCATCTTCTCCACGTCTCGCCAGCAGACGACGACTTCGCCTCCGCGCTCCGATGACGCCTCGCCGGTGGAGCCAGAGCAGGAGGCGGCGGGCGAGGTCGGGGAGCACGAGCGGCTCGGCAAGCGATGCGCGCAGCGCCTCCACCAGCGGCGCCGCCGCCACGAGCGAGAGGTGTGCCGACGCGAGCTTTCTCGAAGGTATGGTCCAGGTGCCGCGCTACCGTCGTCTTGCCTCCATGCTCCACCATGTGGCTGCCTTATCCTCTCTCTCCTCCTCCTCCTCCTCCTCCTCCAGGCTACCAGGTACCAGGTATCACGGGTACCAGGTACCAGGTACCAGGTATCACTGTATCAGGTACCAGGTATCACGGAACCAGATACTAGGTACCAGCCCGGTACCAGGTACCAAAGGTATCAGTCGATACCAAGTACCAGGTACCAGGTATCAGGATGGAGTGCACGTGGAAGCGGGCAGGAGTCACTTAAACTATCCTGTTACCTAGGTATCAGACCTGGTACCTGCAGGTATCATGGCTGGTACCATAGGTATCAAGCTTAGTACCAACGGTATCATGGCTGGTACCCGTAGGTATAATACCTGATACCTTAGGTACCAGGGTCGATACCTGCGAAGTATCAAGTACCAACGTTTTCTCTCCTCTTCTTCCTTTCCCTCGGCTCGACCCCCTGCTGCTGCCGACAGCACACTCCTGCTCTGAGTAGTTGTTGCGGCGGCGCGTGATACTGAGCCAGATTTGGGGGAAGGAGCACTCCTGCTCAGAGTAGTTGCAGGTGCAGCCGGCTAGGTATCGCGCGCGCACCGAGCAGTGTTCTGGTTGAGGGAACGAGCACTCTTGCCTGGGGGAAGGGAAAGGGATCCTGCTCGTGGTAGTTACGGCGGTGCTCCATGCCGCCGCCGGCGCGTCGCCGGCACACAGAGGTGGTGGGTGAGCGAATCGCGTGGACAACATGTGGGGCTTGGTCAGAGAAAGGAAGTCTGTCAGGTGTTATTTTTATCCCGTGACTACCGTGTTGCAACGGAATCCCGTGCGGTAGCAGCCCTCTTCTTTCTTTGGATAAAGAACAAGGTGAAGAAGATGATGTTGAGGTTTCTCTCTTTCTTTCCTGAGTGGTTCAAGTGCTTGCAGTTGCATAGTAGTCTGAAAAACGGGTGAGCTCATGCACTTACGAAGGGATCAAATTGCAGTACTATACTGTTGTAAATTGGCTATCCTATCACTCAAATCACTCACGAGCAGCTTACTCTGAATCTCTGACGGTTGTAGGTTTGCTACAGTAAACTGAACAAAAACCGAAAACAGCAGAAAAACTAGTGATAGAGTTTGGCGCAACGTAGAAACTTGCAGCATTTTCTCGGTTCTCTTCTATTGTTTATACTCCAAACTCCATCAGTTTGTTTCAACAGAAATAGATCCATAAAACTCGCCTAGATCCTACTGAATCGTGCCATCCCATGATTGATATCGCACGAGCTTACCACTAAGACTTGACTGATAAAAATTGAAACTGTTAGAGACTACTTCTACGATCCGAACTCCTCGTGAACACAGCACAAGTCAAGTTAATTTGCTTGTTTCAAAAACCTGAAACTAAATTGAACCAGCTACAAGATTAAATGCATCATATACTACTATCCAAAGTTCAATATTTATGCAGTAGTTATGCAGTTGATAAGAATTAAGGTTCGACAGTACTTTTAATTGTTTTGCAAATAAAAAGATATTTGCTCCGGTCCAACAAAAAGTAACTCGAGAAACCAGTACCTTAAGGTATCAAATCGTTTCCGATCATATACTACTATTCAAATCATTAGATCTAACAATGCTCATCCTGTCTAGCTAGATCGAACAATCGGAAACGATTTGGTACCGCGAGGTACCGGTACCTTGATGTACTTTTTGTTAGACTGGAGCAAATCTCAAATAAAAAAGAATAATCAATTCTTAGTCCTTGTAAATAATTTCACTTCTTCATAAATTAAATCCAAATGGATTTAGTTACAATTTGGCATCTTACAATAATGAATAGTAAATCTCTTCTACGTACAGTTAAGAATCATGACCATAATCCAGTGTAGCATACATATATCCACACATCTTTTATTTATTTTTTTACTTGTCCATAGTAGTAAAAAATTTTGGACTTCGCTGTCTCGCAACCATTCAAAACTCTCAAGGTTGACTAAGGCCATTGGTGCCACATCTCTTGAATTCTGGTGGTGGCGGAGGCAGGCTGGTCTCAGGCGTCGGTCCGTCCTCCACGATGAATGCCGTCGCCATGCCCATAATTATGTGGAACTCGAAGTGACAGTGCAGGTACCACATCCCTGCCCACCAGAACAAAACCACCAATGAGACATCTGCCCGACCATCCCAAAAAAAAAAACCAATCCTACTTACGAACCTGTACACATGTGTGTCCAGGTTCATAACTAGGAATTCGTTTTTTTACATAGTAGTAGGTCTCAAATAGTATGAATTTATTACATAGTCACTATTTTTTATATGCTTTTTCAAAAAGTAAAACTTCTTTATATGCCACTGAAAGTTTACCTGGATTGTCTGCGAGGAAGCGGACGGCAGCCCACCCACCACGTGGAACCTGCACGGTGTTCCTCAACTGGGGATTGTGGTAGTTGAACTTCTCGACATCCCTCTTGGGATCGAAGTTGCCGAGCCCTTGCGCGAGCACGAACACGTCATAGCCATGGAGGTGCATCGGGTTGGAGTCGCTCTGCAGCAGCGTGGTGCTCTGGAACACGATCTCCACCGACGCGTTGTACCTGAACCGCCGAAGCCTCATCGCCTTCGCTGTCGGCTCCAGCGCCGCCTCGAGCGGGCCTGCCGGGATAAGCTCCCGGTCGGTGTAGTTGAATGGCCGCGGCGGCCGGACAGGGAAGTCCTCCGTATACACGCCCTCCGGCCTGCCATCGTAGTAGTGCTCCAGCAGGGCGGTGGCGTTGGTGTGGTGGAACGAGACGTTGTTCATGGTGGCCACCACCACCGTCTCCGGGCTGCGCCCGCGCTTGCACGTTGTTGTGTTGCCGCCACGGCAAATGGAGCCAAGGCCGAGCGTGATGAGGAGACGCTCGTCGACGTGGGCAGGCACGCGGTGGCGCTGCTGCTGCTCCGGCAGTGCGAGACCGGTGAGGTTGCGGCGGAAGTAGTAGGACGGCATGGTGTTGTGTTGGTCAGGCATGACAGGCATTGGCATGGGGAGGTTGTTGCTGTCCATGGCGGCACCAGCATAGCGGATGAGGCCACGGGAGGTGAGCTGCGGGATCTGGAGGTCCGGCGGCGGCGGCTGGTTGGCCAATGCGACCATGTGGTAGTACGCTGGCGGCGCGTCGGTGAACATGAGCACGTCGATGGCCTCGCCCGGTGCGACGGTGACCATGTCCGTCTTGTACGGGGTCAGGTAGTTGCCATCGGCGCCAACCACGGTGAACGTGTGGCCGGCGACCTTGAAGTAGTATTCAGAGAAGAGCGCGGTGTTGATGACCCGGAGGAGGTAGCTCTCCCCGCGCTTCACATCGAGCACAAAGCTCTCCTCTACCGTGCTCGAGCAATTGCTAAGGTCACCGAGCTTACCATTGATGGTCGCCGACAATGGGTTGTCGTCGAAGTTGCCATCTAGCATCCTCCTGTCCAGCTCTATGAGATCAAGCTCCCACCATTCACCTGCAATTAATGATATGGTATACATAGTCAATCAGTGGCATACATCCAACCAAACAAGTGCATAATTTGTCTAAGGTCAAGACCGATCAATAGTTAACCGATTGACCTGGACCGTCCATTACCTATGATGATCGGCACGTCCTTGGCAGGTGTCAGAAAAGGGTACTTTCCGTTGCGGGGACGGATGATGAAGGCACCATTGATGGTAGCACGGAGGCAGGTGACGTGGGCATGCCACCACAGCGTGCCGACCTGGCCAGTAACATTGAAGCGGTAGGTTTTCTCGCCACCAGGATGGATAGGACACTCGGTGACGTAGCCAGCCCCATCAGCCCAGCAGCTCCGCATCTGGCGGACACCGTGCCAGTGGATAGTAAGCCCATGTGGCAGCCTGTTGATGACGTGGACGACCACGGTATCGCCCTCCGTCACATCAACCGTTGGCCCTGGAAACCGCCCGTTCACCACGTAGATCTTGGTCGTGTTGCACAGGTGTGTCACGTTCATCTCATGTACCATGAAAGTCTGCTCCACCACAGCCGCCTCGCCGCCGACCACCGCCATGGCCAGAGCCGTGGCGGCGACGACCACGCAGAAGAGAGATGCCGCCGTGGAGAGCTTCTCCATGGTGACCTTATCTTTTTCAGCTACGGCCAAAACCAAACTCAGTTAAATTCGTCTGAACTTGTGAAAGTGCTGCTTCTCTCGATCCCAGGACAGGTTTGGGGCCGTATTTATAGACACGAGCATCAGGTGGTCTGTGCTGAACTGCTGATGAACACCCAGGCACAGAAGTAATACACATCTGCTGATCGAATAGGATGGCCATTTCCAATGGTTGACCAGCCAATGGCCGTTTGTCCGCAGATGAAAACTATGGGCTGCCTTTGCATATGGCTATACCTTATACCTTAATTTAAAAGGAAAAAAAAACTACTTTTTACATCTCTTTCTAACTAGGCAACATAAAAGTAAAAAATATAACATTTTAGTTTCAAAATAAGAAAACCACCATTGAAAGGTTGTATTGTCTTTTAGGGGTATTTTCACTGATTTTTGTAGTATAGAGTGTAAAATGTCCGATTTTGTAATTATGGAAGTATTTTCACAAATAGGTGTAATATATACTGTCTTAATTATTTTCTGCTATTGTGCAGTTAACCATGAGATTGGCTTCTTCTCGGATACAGTTTCAACCCAATGACATGACATATCTTTGACTCAGTAACAAGCATACTTTTTCGTCCTATCCTAGGGTAGCTCAATGTAAAAACCATGCAGAAAATTATTGCTTAATTAGCTGTTTTTTTTTGCGGGGTGCTTAATTAGCTGTTGATAGTAGCTAAAATAAAATGTACCAATCATGATCTTTGATTTCTGAATTACTACTCTACAAAAATAATTACATGACCAAATGCATTGTGGTTTGTGTAAATCTTGTGGTGACACATATCAAGTAGTTATTCTCTATGCATGACATTTCACATCCTTAACTACTTACCGCAAAATCAAGAAATACGAGACTCCATAAATTAAATTAAATTCATTCTGTAGTTTAGGTACACGGATTTGATCAATAGGTCATATTGCTGAATATATATCACGCATTCGGAATAGAAAATATGAAATGATCATATACTGCCTCTCTTTTAAAGTATATGATACCGTTGATTATTTTATGCACATTTGATCAGTCGTGTCATTGGAAAAATATTGTGTAATTATTATTTATTTTGTTTTACTTGATTTGTAATTAAATGTTCTTTAACCATAACTTATTTTTGTTTCTTATGTTTGCAAAAGATTTTGAATTGGATAAGCGGGCAAACATATGTCTAAAAGTCAACTACGTCATACATTAAAAAACAGGGTGGGTATATCCAAACTGCGTGCGGATAATCGACTACGTTATTTATACAATCCTCTCTTACTATAGAGTTATAGAGTTATAGGCCACTAATTTCTAAAACTTAATATACAAAGATGTCACATCATCATCCACTAACAATTATTATATTTAAACATCATGCAAGCATTGCTATATTATCTACAATTTAATAATTTATTAATTTTTAGAGATTTAAAATGTAAGCATGTTAAATCATCTCACATAATTCATATAATATTTCAATATATCTCTCCATCATTTTTTTATAATATCATATATACATATATAGTTCATCCTCACTTAGTTCATGTTATTTTCTTCTCTCATTAAGTCATATCACATCAATTGCTTTTAGTTCTTAGATGATTAATCTATGGTTCAAATTATCTCTCTTCTTTTCTTCTCTTATTAAACCATATCGTCTCAATTTTTTTAGCCGTTAGAAATATGGTCTAAATTATATTCTTTCTTTTGTTCTCTAATAAAGCCACATCATCTTACTTTTTACATTTAAATTATCATTGTACATACTATTTAAATTTAAATCACATCAATTTATGTAAACTTATATTTATGTAACCCTATATTGTTTAAGCTATCTTACACATTATTTTTATTTTTTATTATTATAGTAAACTCCCACAGCAACGCGCGGGGGTTTCACCTAATTTATTAAGCAAACGTAAGTCAAAATGACGCAATCACTTACTTTGGTCAAACTAATTAACCTTTACCTTGGCCAGGCGAAAAAAAATTGACCTTAGTTCTTGCTGCGGTAGCATGTGCACATGCATGGATAGAATTGGTAACGACCAGAAGCTATTAAGACGAAATTTTGGCCTCAACAAATGACGGTCAAATTAGTTTGTTGCACATGACAAAATTGCCTGAACTTATGAGGACGTTAAACCAATCAGTCTTCAGTTCCATATCAATATGCACAGATTAGGATGAAAATGATCATTGGAATTCCCGACCGTTTCCGGCTAGCCATAAAATCTGTTTTTTTTTTCTATATTTTTCAGTATCGTACTGTTGCCGTTGTCGGACGTTGAATAGCTAACTTGACAAATATGCATGGTTTATTCTAAACCGATCAACAATTGTTTTCGAACGGATGCTACCAATTTCGACCGTTCCCGACCATTTTCGTCCCATTACAGTGAACAGAGACAGAGTACGCACGTATGGCAGTATCCATCTTCTTGTCCCGAATTGACTTTGTACTCCCTCCATACTCATAAAAGAAGTTGTTTAGAACAATATTTAAGTCAAACCTTGGAAATATAAATCATGAATAACTCTCAAGTTGTTGAGTTTAAAAATGTAAAAATTATATGTATAAATTTGTCTTGAAAAATACTTTCATAAAGGTATACATATATCACTTTTCAATAAATATTTTTATAGAAACAAGAAGTCAAAGTTGTGTTTTGGAGACCGTGTCGCTGTCCTAAACGACTTCTTTTACGAGTATGGAGAGAGTAATTAATGTACGTAGTGAGAGCTGACAAAGTGAGACTAGTTAGCTAGAAACGCTGCATGAATCTGATTAATTTATGGCTAAATTAAGGAGTAAGCTTCCTCCTATCTATGTAACACGCAGTAATAATCTTCTACTGTGCTGATTGGTCAAGCAAATATCATTGACAGCTTCCTCTCTCGCTCGGAAGATGCATGTGTCATGCGTGGTGAAATGTAATTGTTTTTTCAAACAAAAACTCTCCGAGATCGACCAAATTTTGTGTTACCATTATTGTTGTCTCTGCCAATAAGTCTGTAACTGGGAAGTTCAATCAGCTAACAAAGCCCGTGCTACTCACGGCGTCTACCTTGAGGTAACTGACAATGAACTTGTGCTTGGTAGAATAATGGTAGCTAACTGTACAAATATATCATTATCATATATCTTTACTATTGGGACTGTCTTCAAATTCAACGCCCCAAATTTTGCTTAAACGTTAAAAACTATTTTGATAAAACAAATTAAGATATAAAGTTTGGTTCTTTGTATGTATATAAGGTCTACTGCCAAGATATCTCAATTAACAAATCTTTTGTGGCCCTGGAAAAAAATCCAATCTCTCCACCCTAAATCACTCCTCCTAGGAGATGGTTCGAAGTTTTCCTATTTCACCTAAGGAAAATCGAACATTACTTCACTGTATCCCCATATTCTGGATAATTCAAATTTCAAATTTGAATTAAATGGCCCTCCTTGAAATCACCCATTTTAACGGCTTCCGAAGTTTAACTAAAATACAAAATCCGTCCCAAATATCAAAATTTCAAATAGAGATGTCCTTACCTCGAATTCCCAGACATATTATGTACTCAACCTTCAAATTTGAGCTCAAATATTTATTCCAATCATCAAAGCATTCCTTAAACCAAATCCTGAAAAATTCTCAAACTCTATTATGCAAAACTGGGCCGCCCATTTCTTTTCATCCATAGACGGCCCACCTCCTTCTCTTCTCTCCTCCCACAGAGGAATAAGTTCACTTCGTGACCCTCAACTGTGATCGAAATCTAATCCATATCCACGACCCTAAACCACAAAACCGGATATCTCGACCCCCCAAACTCCTAAAACCGGTGCAATTTAACTCCCCGGGCGGTTTTAGGAGGCAGTTTTGCTGACATGGCGCCACGTGGCACCTACGTGGCAATATTGACCGAGTCTTCGTGCCACGTGGCATTGACGTGGCACCTATGTGGCGGTAGAAATAAAAAATATGTGTGGGGCCCATTAGTCATTCACACAAAAATAAATGTGGGCCCACTGACATGTGGGGCCCACATGTCAGCCCTTTTTCCTCCTCCCTCTCTCCCTTCTCTCTCTTTCTCTCCCCCTTCTTCCCCTTCAGCGGGCGGCAAGCGGCGAGAACGAGCGGCGGCGGCGCGCAAGTGAGGGCTGGGGTGACGACGACAGGACGGGCGAGGGCAGGAGCGGCGAGCCGTGCCGCCGCCGCTGTACTCCTCCTTCCGAGGCGTCGCAGCCGCCACCACCCTGACACCTCTCCCCGCCGTCGCGCCGCCGGCGCTCGCGGCACCCATCCACCGTCCACCTGCTGCTGTCACCGCCGCCGCCGCATGCGCTAGAGGGAGGCCTAGCGCGCTCTTTGATCCGTCCTCCTCCTCCTCGCCTCGCCTGACGACGATGCGGCTTGCAGCGATGCATCGCACGATGCGACCACGCTGCCTCCAGCGAACGGAGGCGCGCTTGTCGTGGGGCTCGGAGTGGCTGGCGGGAGCGCGGTGACGCGGAGGCCGCCTCCTCTGCCGTTCAGCAATGGGCGGCGTTGGTCGTTGTCCCGGTTCTACCGCTCCAAGGGTGGGCGGCGTTCGGCTAGGAGCTGCAACGGCGTCCGGCTAGGAACTGCGACTGCGACAGCAGCCGCCGTGTTCGATCCCTGCCACGCCTGCCCTCCCGCCGCCGCTGGCCCCCGTCCCACGCTGTCGAACGCCGCCCGCCGCCGCTCGCTCTCGCTGTCCCCGCGCGCCATCGGCCGAAGGGGGAAGAAGGGCAGAGAAATAGAGAGAAGGGAGAGAGGGAGGAAGGAGGAGTACGGCGGCGGCGGCGGCTGCACGGCTCGCCGCTCCTGCCCTCTCCCGTCCTGTCGTCGTCACTCCGGCCCTCACTTGCGCGCCGCCACCGCTCGTTCTCGCCGCCTGCCGCCTGCTGAAGGGGAAGAAGGGGAGAGAAAGAGAGAGAAGGGAGAGAGGAAGGAGGAAGAAGGGATGACATGTGGGCCCCACATGTCAGTGGGCCCACATTTCTTTTTTTTTAATGACTAATGGGCCCACGCATATTTTTTGTTTCTACCGCCCCGTAGGTGCCACGTCAACACCACGTGGAACGAAGACTCGGTCAATATTGCCACGTAGGTGCCACGTGGCGCCATGTCAGCAAAACCGTCTCCCAAAACCGCCCGGGGAGTCAAATTGCACCGGTTTAAGGAGTTTGGGGGTCGAGACATCCGGTCTCGTGGTTTAAGTGAATTTATTCCTCCCACAGAGCCCAGCTCTCTCCTTTCCTTTTACACTAATTAATTCGGCC